ATTTGAAAAGTGAGGACTGACGTGTCATGGGTCAAAGCACATGCAGGTAACCAGCTTCAGTGTCAGACCACAAGTGGTACTCCGAAACTAGAATACTGAAAGGCATGCCTCACCTGTGGGCTTGAGCTGCCATACCTGCCAAGTGTGAAGTTGCAATGGTCGAAGATGAAGTTCCAGCCCTTGCCCCGATACACGCCCTCCACACACTTGTACGCCCGCATGGCATGTTTCCGCTGATGGCACACGTGAAGAGAGGGAAACAGAGAAGGTTAAGTGCACAGGAGAAGGAATGCGCTCTACAATTTGCCCGAATATGAAGTGTGATGAAGCATATAAGATTGGTCAGCTTTCCAGGATGTGCGTCACGCATGCAAGCCGCTCGGAGCCAGAATTCATAGCAGACAGCATCGACATCACAGACAGAACTCGATTAAATATGCTTGCACGGCAAGCGAAGTTGAAATCCAGATGTGCACCTGGGAGGCGAGGTTGTAGCGGTTGCCTGCGAGCACCATGTGGAATCCATACTTGCGCAGCATGGGAGGCGTCACCCGCACAAAGCAAACCGCTGCCTGCTCCAACAGCACCGCTGCCTTCACTCCACTCTCCTGCAATGGAGAAAGAGTGGGGGGGGGGGGTTCAGGGAGGAGGGGGAGGCGATGGAGAGGAGGAGGTGAGACAAGAGCTGTTACAAGGGTGGTGGGCCAGTGGTGGCGGTAACATTAGCTTGACTTATGTGGGTTAGGCCAGTGGAATGCGGGAAGCAGAACTGCAGGTATAAGTTTTGTTCTCATCTTTCTGCAATAAGAAACAACACCGGTGTCTCTAGAAGAAGATGGAAAAACAGAACCTACTTCCAAAGATGCGCGCATCAGGGTGAGTGCAGCGTCTCGGAAGTTTCCCTTAGCCTTAAACATGCCGATCATCCAGAAGACTGTTCTGAGAGCAAAGCGGGCTCCCAATGGCCCACACCGCTGACAGGGATGGAGCAGATGGGAGAAAAATCAGGGAGGATGGAAGATAAAGGAAGAAAAGAAGATGACTAGGAGGAAAGGGAAAAAAAAGTGAAGCGAGGGGAGGAAGAGGGGGAGATGAAGGGAGGGAGGGAGGGAGGTAGGGGAGGGGAGGGGGAGGAGAACGAAAAACTGAAAGTTACGTATCACAGGAATGGTTAAGTGCCTGAGTTGCCATAGTGAGTGAGATACCTGGTATGAGGCATAAGCGCTCTCCATGCACTGCTCCATCTCCCTTCGAGAAATCTCCAAGAGAAAGAGTGACACTGCCACCATTTCCTGGAGCAAACATGAAGGTCCACTCATCCCAATCCCCCATTATTTACACAAGCATACACACACATGCAAACTCACATACATACACCACAAAATCGCAGGGTCAATCGCACACACATACATGCATGCATGCATGCACAAACATGCACACGGACATCGACACCCATGGCACACATGGGAAAATCGAATGACAAAGACAAAAAAGAATTGCAGTCTGCTGCAAAAAAGGAGGTAGAAATCGTGCCGATAGGGTTTAGAGAGGAAAATTGCATGATAAAGCAACCTAAAATACGTATGGAAGTCACAATTAAAACGCTTGAAATTGCCCTCAAATCCCTCACAAACCAATAATCAGCAACAGACTGACCTGCGCCCCAGCGTAGTGCTTCCACGCCTTGTCTCTGCGGTAGTCCGCCGCCACGAGCCGGTAGTTGTCCAGCGCTAACTGAAAGTCCTGCAGCATCATCGCTGCGTCCGCCAGCTGGCGGATCTGAGACTCAGGCGAGCGGTAGGTGTAGCTGCGAGAGGACAGTGAAGGGGTGTGAGACGGGGAGAGATCGATGAGTTTAGTACACTGGCTGAGAACGGGCAAGAGGGAGGGTGGTTAAAGAGTGACTGAAGTTCACAGAAAATGAGGATGCGATTAGGAGTGGAGTGAGTGGAGGACTTGACAGAGGGACAAACGAGCCACGGCATGGAAGGGACAGGGAAACGAAAGGTGCTTACACGCCAGGTGTGGCGTCTGCTGTCTCTTCCTTCCCCTTGCCAAACCACAAGTTCTTGATCTGGTTGCGAAGCCCACGACGACTGGCTGAGATCTGCGGCATTCATGATCACGCAAAAATCCACTCGAAAGCACCCACAAACACCAACGAACATACATGTGCACATGTCCACACATTTACAAAGTCTTCATCATACGTAATGCAAGCCCCGATAAAAACAGGAATTGGATTGAAGTGGAAAATGATGGAATGCGAGGAAACCACCACAACTTGCACGCTGCCCAACTAACTGCAGGATCAAGTTCGTCCACAGACCTGCTGGTTGAGGTCTCGGGCCTTTCGCTCGAGGTGAGGCACGAGGTGCTTCACACTGAGCTCCATCATCATGTCTGCCACCTCCCTCACGTCCGCCTCACTCATATACTGCCCCACCGCCCCCGACACAGGCAGGCCTGAGGGGCTCTGTGGCAACTGCAGGAGGCAGGGGAGAAAAGGGGGAGTGGGGTGGAGAGGAGGAGTGTGAGAGAGCGAAGGGATTTTGGAAAGGGGAGATGAGAGGATGCGGGAGAGGGGAGCAAGATCAGGACGCTGTGGTTAGCCCAAAGCCGATACCACGAGCCTTCCTTACCGCAGTGCCAGCAGGAGGAGGCGTCGGGGCCCCTCCAACGGGGACAGGGCGGTGTTTGGTCCAGATGTCAGGCCGAGACTGGCTGGGAGCAGCGGCAGAGTTGATAGGCAACAAACGGCAGACAGCACTGCCAAAAGCAGCACGCATCTCGGCTATAGTGAGCTCGACTTGAGAGGAGGCGGAGGGAGGGCCCAGGGAGGAGCAGTCGTGCAGGAGGAGGTAGTGCAGGTGCAGCTTGGGGTCCATGGTGCCGTCGCGGTAGAGTGCAGGCAGGCGCTCGGGAGTCATGAGCTCACGCAATGCACGCACAGGGAAGGGCTCTGACGTGGAGGCGACCAGAAGACCTGGGGTGGTGGGCGTTGGAGGGTTGGGAAGTGGAGCGTTGTGGGGTGGTGAGTTGAAGGCAGGTGCGTTGGTGCGTGTCAGGACTCAGGAGTTCAGTGCACAGAAACAAGGCTGCAGGGAAGATGGTAAGGTAAGGAGATGCAACAGAAGTGCAAATCGATAGATGGACACGAGGGAGCTTACATGCGATGGGATGATCAAAGGTCTCGTGGTCAGAAAAGACGAGCGTGCGCATGTACTCGTCGGTGAAGCGCTGAAACCAACACGTTCGGTTCTCCGCATTGGCCACTGCAGCCACATAGGCGAAATGGGTAGGGAAAGGAAACGAGGATGCAGGTTCAAGGGGGGAAAAGAGCCAAATGAAAATTGTGCAGGAAGGGAGGGATAAACATCATGGCGCACTCTCTTGCCCAGACTCTGCACAGAGGTTCTACTTGACTGAATGAATTTGGGGGAAGAGGGTGATGGGTCGGGGGTGAGAGGGTGGAGCAGTGCGGAGAGGCGCGAGACGTCTAGATGCAGTGCGGAATGCATTATAAAAGTAGCTCAGCTCTACCTTGTATGCGTCGCTTCATGATTGAGACTGAGTAAGCTTAGTGCATGCTGCTGCTCATGATTGCCCCCTCTTTACTCACACAATCCCCCATCCAAAACTCCCTTCTTCCCGTCATGCTCTTGGGTACGGCTCAAAGGGTCACGCCCCCCCCCCCCACCAACTCACTGCCTATGATGGAGTTGAGGTCGCTCGGATCTGCCCCCATCAGCTCTGCGTCTGCCGCCTCACTCGCGTTTGTCACAAAGCGCACGCAGAAATCTTCTGCTGCCTGCTCCCGCACCACCATAGAGCACGGAAAAATTAGCATATAACGTTCAGATAAAATTAAGGCTACGAATGTGCACCGCCATTCCCCTAATTACCTCCTGGGAAGGTTGTTGAATCTCGCTAGCATAGAATACTCGCACGCGAAAGTCGTGCAGGCGGTACGAATGCTCACCCGCCGTGCGCACGGGCACTGCAGGAGAGGTGGCGAGAGGGGAGGAAGCGGGACCGCGACAGGAAAGTGGATGAGGGCTGATGGGGCGTGGGATCTTAACAACGTCGGCACAGTCAGGATACACTCGAAGAAAGGCGGATGAAAGTCATCGTCGACGTGGAGAATCGCACGTTAGCATTCACAGTACTACAGCCACGCCTCACCGTTGAGGTTGGAGAACTCGCAGTGCGGGCGGAGCAGGTCGACGAAGCTCAGCGCGTTTTTCTGGCAGGCAGCTTCAGCGGCAGCTGTGGAGAGCACCATTAGCGCCGGGCACATGCGCTCGCGGAGGCTCTCCCCTAGCATCGACCGCTCCATGCTGCTGCGCTGGTACCCTGACCCGCCCCGCGTCATCGGCGCTCCTGTTAGCAGATCCATTGTGAGACGGACTAAGGCGGTGACTCGGAATTAAAACTTCTCATGAATGAGCGCACACGTTGGAGAGGTAGCTGGCTGCTGGTGCGCCTTCGCTGCGATGCGCGCACCACTGAAATCTACCATTCACACGAGAAGGAAGAAGGCTTCTGCGGGAGGGTCTCCATGTAAGCATGCGCGGTAAGAAAGAATACCTAGGGGGAGCCCAATCGTACACATGAACTGTACTGTACTCACAAAATTGAACAAAATTGCTCCAATCATCACTCTCCCCGCCCCCACCACCACTTCCACCATCACGTCGCCCCATTCGGCAAGGATTACGTTGTCGTGCTGTATCGTCTTGACTGCTTGCATTCAATCCACGAATATGCCACTTCCAATCCAATCCAGTCCCCATGTTTTCGCCGCCACCAACGTTCACCCTCCCTAGACAACCGCGACGGCCATGGCTGAGCCAGCAGAGCTTACTTCAGGTCCCGCCGCAAAGCCCGCCGCAGGCATTGCCGCGAGACCAGCCGGAGAGCCTGTCGCGCCTCAGGCCGCAGAACCCGCTCCAGGTCCCACGGCTATGTCCGTAGCTATGCCGCCGAGTGTAGTGTCCATGGCTTTAAATAAGCCCACCGTCAATCTTCCCTCCCGTCTCCGCATGGTCTCGCAGCAGCAAAACCACCCTCACCAGCGGGAGCAGGACCAACTAGGGGTACCACAGTCGGGGCCGGGAAATAAAAGAAAGAAAGGTTTCTGGCTGAAGTCCCTCGGCTCTCTGCTGGGCCGCAAGGTGGTGGAGCTGCTCTGGCCGTCGCTACGCAACTTTGCTCTCGGGCTGCTCGTCGATGCTTTGGGCTTCTCCATCGGACTAGCCACTTCTCTCGTGATCGGATGTAGGGCTCTGGACAAGCGACGATCGTTTGAAGTCAGCACTCCTCAAGTAAGTCAATCAAGCTGAGTTGTAATGAAGGACACTCACAAGAAAAATCAGATGCTACATGAATGTTCCATTTTTCTCGTATCAAATGCACTGCTTACCTGCTCTTGCTGCAGGTCCGCCGGGTGCTAGCAGTGACAGACGAGGATCACCTGGATCGGCTTCGAGGCTCTCTGCCAGGTTGGGTGAAAGACCCTAGCTTGGAACCGGCTCGCTGGCTGAACCACGTAATTGCGCGATTCTGGCATGTGCTGAATCCCGCACTCAGCAAAGTCTTCGTGGAAAATCTGTGGCCGGTGAGTCCCCCTTCCAGATATGCAACTCCTGTTGCACTTACATGAAATTAAGGAACTCAATTCTAGGCTTGTGTCGGCTACATGCAAGCGCGTTGACTTCACACTTACTTCGAAGTTTTGGCATGTACAGGAGGCACCACAAAAGATGATGCGATCTTGTCTCTTCCCACCAGGCCATTTGCAATGATAAACGATTTCTGGAGGACCTGATTCGATTTGAAGACTTCTCGCTCGGGTCATTCCCACTAGTAGTGGAGTATGTCAAGGTGCGCAGTGATGGGCTTTAGCGTTGGGTCGCCCGATAGGCAGGATAAACAGGCTTTGTCACGTCCTCTCTTATCAGCCCCAGAGCGTCCACTCTTTGTGTCATGTCTTGGTTGGACCTTTTACAAACATTTCTACTCTTCCTGTCCCGCCACGCCAACCTTCTCATCCTCCCTTTCCTTTCATCCCTTATCGCTCACCGAGGGAAGCAGATGGTTGAATCTCATGAGTCTGCAGCCGTGCTTGATCTCAAGGTGCACCTCGCCACGAACTCCAATGCAAGGGCGATTTTGACTTTGCCAGGGAACGTGCTGAGACTTCCAGCAGTCGAAAAAGGCGATGACTGCTCATTAACCTTGCACCTCTCTCAACTCGTGGGGAGGGCAGTCTTGCGCGTGTCGTTCGCTCCATTGGTTCCCAGGTTCCCTTGCTTTGGGAACGTCCACTTCTCTATCCTCGAAACTGTAAGACAACAGCAACTCTGTAACCACTTCGCAGACTCATGAGCGTCCACTTGAGAATGTTTGAGCCATGCTAATTCCTGTCATTACCGCATATCGCGTTTCATGTCTTGATGCAGCCGGAGCTGGACTTCTGTCTTTCCACCTATGCGGGGCTTGACCTCATGTCACTTCCAGGCATCTCTGGCATCTTGCACCAGAAGATTCAGTCTGCTATTGCAGGTCACATGCTATGGCCAAGGCGCTTCACACTCCGCACAAAGGCAGCAGAAGTGACAACAGGTAGAACCAGGCGAGCAGTTGGTACCGTGACAGTGGAGGTAGTGGAGGCCACAGAGCTAACACAAGCAGGACTTCTTCTGGCACAGAATATTCTGTATCCATCACCATACGTCAAGGTGCGTCGGTGGAAGGAAGCTTGTTAGTTGCAACGAGTGAACGATGCTTATGAAACTGGATGTTTGTGCAGGCTTACATTGATCCAAGTCGTTCTGTGACCACTGCCACTGCATCCTACACTTGTGAACCTGTGTGGCGGGAGGTGATTCGTCTGCCTGTGATGGATCATGAGACGGACGCCCTGACATTTGAGGTCCACGATGCCTCAGCACTGCTGGTGGACAGTTTAATCGGCTCATGTGTTCTTCACGTCAGCAATCTGACGCCAGGAATTCCGCAGGTATTTCATGGTCTTTTGGAGGGGGCAAATTTAGTTGTTAAATGCCTGTGCAGAACAATTTCTGATGAGTTTGTCGGGTTAGCAAAGGGTGATGATGTGTTGATCAGACACAGAAGCTGCTTACTACTGGTCTCAATTCTTGTTGTCATTTCCTTCTGCAGCACTTCACGCTTGGGCTTTGGGGCCACCGGGGCCAACCCCGTGGTGAGCTGGAACTCATTGCAACCTTCAGAGTCCTGCAAAGCGAGACAATGCCGCGGAAGCTTTTATCGGAAGATGCGACTCTTGCAAGACCTGGAATGCAACCGCGCCTGCAACTTCATGCTGATGGGCCTGGCTTGCTGGAAGTGGCTGTGTGGAGAGGTGTGGATCTAGATGCAAGCAGTTGGTTGGGGAGGAACCCTGACGAAGCTCAGTTCTTGTGCAAGGTGTTTCTTGCAGGAGAGGAGCGAGTGACAAAGGTGAGTTTTCGGGGCCGTTACTAACTCATGATCTTCCATTTTTTGTTCCCTGGAGAGCTGCCTTGCCATCAATGTCGTCTTCAAGTATGGCGATTTTGTTCCCATTCTTGCAGGTTGCTGAAGGCAGGGGGGATCCACAGTGGGAAGAGTCGTTTGAGTTTCTGCTTGATCAACCACCAGTTACTGAAAAACTGCTGATTGAGGTTTGGAGCAGGAGCCCAGAAGCAATGCTAGTTGGTTCTGCAGAGAAGATGGTGGGTTCCGTGGAGATTGCTTTGTGTGACGCAGTGAAGAACAAACGCATTGTTGATGTTTTCCAGCTCCATCACACGAAGCAGGGATATTTGAAGTTGGAACTTCAATGGCGCTTGCTTGCTGATGCCAGCTGATCATGCTGAATGTTTTGGTGGAGTCCTGCAAGAAAACGGTATTTGTGTGTGAGGCATAGCATTCCAACCGTCTGTGTGAATTGTAATGTGGTCATGAAATATGACATGCTTCTTGACACCGGATAGAATCGGGCCTGGTGCATTTCCAGAAAGAGCGCAAGTAATCCAACAGCTGAAGAATACCCATTTTCTTGGAAATTTTTCTGAATACACAAAGTTTACTTCTTCAGATATTCCTTGCTTCCTGATACGTTGCCCAGATGGTTAACGTGGAAGCATCAATTTTGATGCCAAAAATAGTGCACTTATTCCAACAGCAGGGAACACCCAGCGTGAAAATCGTTGTGGATTCACATTGGTCTCTTCAACACAAGCTGAGCAGCTACAGCTTGTTTCAGGAAAGTCATCCGATATACTTAGTAGAGCCTCCTGCTGAAGTGATACTGATGATGAATGCTCTGCCGCGATCTCTGCCTGAATGAGTGGAACGTTTTTCACTTTCAGCTTGATTGTCATGTTTCCGATGTGTGAAACTTCTTTATCAGATGACTGAAACACAAGCTTCGGGGGATCTGCCATAAAATTAACAGGTGAGGAGATGCATTGGTGAATTGAAGCTTTTCACACAGCAGCGGGTTGACCTGATAAGCAGCCGACGTCACCGCACGTGATGCTTGCTTCATACTCCATTCCGCGCTGCAAGTCGATTAATGGTACTTCTGCATAATAATCCGACGAAAGTGCCAGTTCCTGGAGAACCTTTTCATTGCTGAGCTCCGTTAAATGGAGATTACACGTGGAGGCGCACTCATTATCGATCATGGTGACTCCCAGAAAATGCACAGCCTGAAATGAGACGAAGCCTGCCAAAAGGGAAGCTGATGAGTCTGACTGATGTTTCGAAAAACGTTTTAGTGTGAGTTCATTTTCTTATCTGAAAGCCAGACCTGTGACACCCTCGTTCTTGTCGACAATGAGTGCATAGGCTGTTGGAAGAATAACCAGGAAACACAAGATAGCCTTCACGAACGTGCGTTGAGGCGTCAGTTCGTTGTTGGAAGCCATAACTGATAACAAAAAGCGGTGCTTTCTTGATTTGACTGATTCTAGTAAGAAATGCTGGATATGTCTAGGGTGTCTGAAAATATGGTGAAGAGGTGGTACTATGTGGTGTGGTTTCTTGATTCTGGATTGTTGTGGGTCAAGTAATTTCGAGATTCCTGGTTACCATTCAAACTGTCGCTATACACGTAAAACAGCAAACCAGAGCGCGGGGGATTGGTTTCGTCAAATCGGTTGACTTGTACCTGGTTACATCTCTCCGCCCAAAACAAGGAAGCACGATTGGAGAATACGATGCCTCACGACAAATTAGCGAAGATTTTTCTCTCTGGGCTCCTACCTTTCGCCCGCTGTGCTGTTCTGCCTGGGCGACGTCGCATCACTGGACAAGCCGTCAAAGAAGCTGCATCATTATTGAACTCCCATCTCATCCCATCCCATCACCTCGCCATCACGGCTGGCAGCGACTAGTCACAAATCAGCGACTAGTCACAAACCAAATAGGCTTGGTGACTGATTTGTGGTGCAACCCTAAAGCGAAGGTAAAAACTTCTCAGGTTGTGCCAACAATGGCTACGTGGGAGGTTCGTCGGTTTTCTCTAGACGGATGACGTTGGCTGCTGCCTGTTAAAGACGCGCTCATGAATCATCCCAGTGCCCACCGTCCACTTCCGCACCACATATGTAACGCTTTCTGGCTCTGTCGGAGGTACTAGGCTGGAAACGTATTTTCCGTCGAATAAAGGTGCCTGCGATTCGTGCGAAACGTTAACGTTGGATTCGTGTGAAACATTGGAAGTATGATATGGTCCGTAGCGATGCAAAAATTGGCTCACAGCCCTCCACGTCGGCCTGCCGGATGGCTGCTTCTTGCCATGGCGCTCGCACTTGTACTGCAGCCAATCTGCTTCAGCCACGTGGCCGAGGCTCAACCGCTTGCTCCGCCTCCCGCTTCTCCGCCGTCCTCACCACCGCGAGCAGGAAAAGGGTCATCGAATGCTACTTGCCTTCCGAATGACGCTTGGACAGGATCCTGCAAGCAGTGGGGGATCGAATGTGAGTTATCTTTCTTTATTTCTCAACATCTTGAAACCACTGCCCTATATCTGCTGAAATCTTTCCACCTGGTCCTTTCCCAGTCCCGCTTCACTCCACAATCCTTTCTGCTCCCCTCCGCTTTTTGCTCTAAGCCTTCGGCCCTACTCTTCTCCCGGCGTCACCTTCCAGGCAATACAATCAGCAACCTCTACTCGCTGTGGTTCCCAAACGATCTAGTATTGGAGAGACCGTGTACATTGGTGTGCAACAGCACCACCAACGTGGTCTCCTGCGACCCCCCGCCTCCATCCGACGCCCCTTGCGCCTGTGCGCTCAACAGCCCCACCAATTACACCGGGCTGTGAGTCACTGTCAGTCTGTCACCATACCAATCGCATCACTCACCACCTGCACGGACTCAGTGCCTCAAGTAGTATGAGCTTGCCATGCCATGCCATGCCATGCCATGTCGTTGTCATTGGTCCACAGCTTGCCTGGAGTAGTCTCAGAGACGCCGCTGCGCGCTGCTGCTGCTGCTGCTGCTGCTGCTGCTGCTGCTGCTGCTGCTGCTGCTGCTGCTGCTGCTGCTGCTGCTGCTGCTGCTGCTGCTGCTGCTGCTGCTGCTGCTGCTGCTGCTGCTGCTGCTGTTGTTGCTGACAGTTCTCTTCTTTTGTTGCTGCGTGTGTTTCTGCTGCTGCCGCGGTGCAGGTCCGTGGCTCTGAGAGGACTCTCGGGTACCATCCCACCATCCATTGGTGGCCTCGTCCATCTCACCTACCTGTCAGTCGCCACGCCACGCCATGCCATTGTTCTTCCTTCTGCCCTCACCCACGCCATGCCATTGTTCTTCCTTCTGCCCTCACCCACGCTATGCCATGCCACTGCTGGTAGCATTGCCCTCACCCACGCTATGCCATGCCACTGCTGGTAGCATTGCCGGCAGGCTGAGACCCTCCCCGTGCCCCTCCCTCATCCTGCCTGCTTTCTTTCGAGTGCCACAGGAACCTTCAAGGAAACAACTTCAGTGGCCCCATCCCCACTACGTTCTGCCAGCTCACCGCTCTACAGTACATGTGAGGGGTAGCGCGCTCTGCAGTGCATGTGAGAGGCATGGAGGCCTGCAGTGCATCTGAGAGAGCTAGGCATGCACTTGATTCGCAGGCAATGTTTCGAGATCCCCTCACGCCTTCTTCCAGCATGTGTTTGTTTTTTGTCGGCACACTACAGGGATCTGAGCAACAACAGCCTAGACGGCACCATTCCCGCCTGCTTCTCTGCCCTCACCAACCTCCAAGTGCTGTGCGCACCCGCCCTGCCCATCACACTCCACCAAGCTTCCTCCCTCACTTAATCTACCTCTCGGCAGCTGACCTGTCACCCTGGCACTCTGCTTTCCGCTCCACTCCAGATTACCTGAGGTCGTTGTTCTGTTCTGAATCATATTGAATGATTGCAACGCCGGCCGGCGTTTTCCCTTCTCCGTTCCTTGGCCTGGTCAGTGCAGCTCACCGTCCTGCCTTACCTGACCATTCAGCGAGTCTGCTTTGCATGGGTGTCCTCATTGACTGCCTCCCAGTGCTTCCAGGCCCCAGCCACGCTAAGCCTTCCTCATGACATCCCTGTGACACCTTACTGTAATTTGCATTCACCATAATGCCTTATCGTGCCATGCCTGCCTCCTGCACCCCTGCAGGGACCTGCACCACAACCAGCTGTCGGGGTCCATTCCACTAGAGCTTGGCAGCATGCTCTCTCTTCAGACTCTGTACTACGCCCTTGCTCACTCTAACGCCCTCCTCAATCACTATGCTCATTGTGTGTCTCATGTGCCATGTCTTACCCCATGGGATCATGCTCTCATGCTGTCACACTCCCATTTCCTCAGCCACCATGCTCTCCCATGCAATCTCACTTCCATTCTCTCACACCACCACGCTTGCATGCCCCCAATCGCTTCACAGGTTCCTCAGGCGCAACAGACTCACAGGTGCCATCCCCTCCAACATCTCTCTCGCCCAGAACCTCACCAACCTGTACGTCACTGATATAGAGTCACATCTGGCCTTGCAGCATCTTTTTCCACCTCGCTCAGCCTCCTCCTCTCCACCTCTCTGTTCCCCTGCCCCAACTCTCTCCCCTTCTCCCCCCAGTTCTTCTCTCTCACTTGCACTAACTCCCACTTCCATACACTCGCTTTTCGCAACCACGCATGTGCCCGTCCGTCACAAATGTGTCCTGCTCGCCAACACACCTCGACCTCTCACTCCCCTCTGCCTCCCAGCTGGGTGGACTACAACACCCTCAACGGCCACCTTCCGGGCCTCTAAGAGACTTTTTGAGTCGACTTAAGAGCCCCACTCCGACCTCTCACTCACTCCCCTCTGCCTCCCAGCTGGGTGGACAACAAGTTGCCAACAACACCCTCAACGGCCACCTTCCTGGCCTCTAAGAGACTTCTTTTGAGTCGACTCAAAAGCCCCACTCCGACCTCTCACTCACCCCCCTGTGCATGGCAGCTGGGTGGACAACAACACCTTGAATGGCCACCTTCCTGGCCCGCTGGGGAACCTCGTGAATCTCGTCTCGCTGTAAGTCCTGCCTCTGCTCTTTTTCCCGCTCACCGCTACGTCCTGTGCGCCCCTGTCCCTTCCACAGCATCTGCATTTCTGATGCTAACCCTTTCAGATGCTAATTCTTTCTAATGCATACGCTTTTTTGTGCTAACCCTTTCTTATGCTAACCCTTTCTTATGCTAACCCTTTCTTATGCTAACCCTTTTTTTATGCTAACCCTTTCTTGTGTTAACTTTCTTATGCTAACCCTTTCTGATGCTAACCCTTTCTGATGCTAACCCGTCTATCTCGTCCCATGCTAGCAGCCCCTGCGTTTTGGGTTATGCCATTCCATTCCTCCATGCATGTCTCTTCATATCCACGCACTACCGCTGGCTGCCATAATCTTTTGCATCCATTCTCTATTGCTCAAAGCAAGCAACCTGCTGCTCTATGTCTCTCCCCCCCCACCAGCTCCATATCGCTCAATCCGGGCATGAATGGGTCCATTCCCGACACCTTCACTCGCCTCATTTCCCTCGAGCTTCTGTCAGTTACACCTTGCACCGTACCCTTTACAACCATTCCGATTGCTGATTGTGGCTTGTGAAGCATCTCATTACTGAGTGCTCCTTTTCTGCTTTGCCTCCATAACACGCGTTTTGCCTGCTTCCTCTGCCCTCCGTTCCTGCACCCCCTGCCCACCAGCAATGCGACAAGCACCGGTCTGTCAGGCACCATGCCGCCATGCTTTGCCAGCATGCCCAACCTCACACGCATGTGAGAGCAAACGAAGCCCACTTGTCTGCGCCACGAGGGGTGTTCTCTGCAACGTATCCAGCCTTTCTGTGGCATGGCATGAAATTCCACTTTCTTTTTTCCCTGCTCGTGTTTTGCACCCTCTCTCCCTCCATTTCATCCCTTGCTTTAGACCTTAGGTCCCTGCCTCTGAATTTCGCCCACACCTCTTCCACCTTCCCCATCCATCCAACCCCCCACCCATCCGACCTGTACCTGCCTCTCCACCCTCCTGTGTGTGCCCGCCCACCAGCATGCTGCCCGCAGGCAACAACTTCTGTCCAGCAGAGGGGCAGTGCTGCAGCAACAACCTCCCCAGCAACGCACCTGAGTCCTTCTATGCGCCGCCCAACATGAGCTGCCCCGTCTGCTCTGCCTGCTCCTCCTTCTGCAGCTCCTGCCAGCCCCCACGTATGCATGCACTCATGCACTCATGCATGCACCCACCCATGCACTTTTCCATGAATATGAGAGCCCATGGATGTCAGTGCCACTGCACTCATGCGCCTTCATAGTCTGACTTTTTCCTCGTGCCATGCTTCTCTCGCGCCTCCCTCACTGCTCTCCTGTAAATCCCTCATCCACTCCACCCACGCCCCATCCCACCAGCGCTGTCAACGGGGGCCATAGCAGGCATAGTGGTGGCGTGTGTGGTGTTTGTGACCGCTGTGCTGGCAGCTCTCATCTGGTGGCAGTGGAGGAAACGATTCGTTGCCTCCAAGCTTGGTGCGTACTGCTGCCTCTGCCTCTGCCTCTTTCTCTGCCTCTGCCTCTGCCCCTGCCGGTCCACTAAGACACTGACCAGCTCCTGCTTTTCTTTTTGACCCTTCTCGCCCACCTCGCCCTCGCCTCCGCTCCCCCTTCCCCATGCATCACACGCATCTTTCTTCTTATGCAATCCGGACTTTCCCCTGCGCGCCACACGGTGAGCAGCGGAGTGGGAGGAGGCATTGAAGCGGCACGTTCCACCGCTTCACCCTGAGGGACATCCGCCTGGCCACTTCCTCTCTCTTGCCCACCTCTCCCCCCAACCTCTCTCTCTCCCTCCCCTATGCTGAGCAGCGGAGTGGGAGGAGGCGTTGAAGCGGCACTCGTTCCACCGCTTCACCCTGAGGGACATCCGGCTGGCCACCAACAACTTCAACCGCGCCAACCTCATCGGCCAGGGCGCCTTCGGCGTTGTCTACTGCGCCCAGGGGCCCGGGGATCAGGTAATCTGATGCATGAGGAGGGGCAAGGGAGAGAGGGTGAAGGAGGGACTGGGACATCCGGCTGGCCACCAACAACTTCAACTGCGCTAACCTCATTGGCCAGGGCGCCTTTGGTGTCGTGTACTCCGCGCAGGGCCCAGGGGATCAGGTGAGAGGGTCTGAGGTCCAGACCCTCATGGTGGGTCTTCGAGGGACCTGGAAACATGTGTGATGCTTCATGGTGGGTCTGGGGCCCTGTATTAGTGCCCCCTGTGCCCCTGCGATCAAGGACCCAGGGTCAGTTGAGAGAGGGAGAGAAAGTGAGCTTACTTGTATCAGTTTCATTGGGCTTGCTGCCTGGGCGCAATTCGCAGGGCCATCAGGACGGAAGGAGGCTGGGGCACAGGACGGTTCATTTTGCCCCGTTTCATGTTGGCGTTTCATTTCTTGCAATGGTGCTTCTCCTTGTGTTACACGACACTCACTCCCTGCAGTGTGTTTCTTTTGCAAATGTGCTATGTGCCTTGCGATTGCAATGTGTGCAGCTGTGGGCAATCAAGCGTTCACGGATGATCGCCAAGGATGCTGCTGAGAGCACCGTCTTTGAAACCGAGGTGGGCTGGGTTAGCCCTCTGCTTCAAATGCTCACTCACTCACTTGCTCTTCCCCTATAGTTCCCCACTATGCCACTACTTCCATTTCACATGTTGCGAGCAAAACCGCTTGCCCTAATTGCAAAATGCCTTCCTTTGCCTTCCCGTTTCACACAACACTCACCATGCCTCTCCCGAACCTCCCTTCCAGGTCCGGACCGTATCCCGTCTGAGCCACCGCAACCTGGTCCGCCTGCTAGGCTACTGCAGCGAGCGGGGGGAGCAGATCCTGGTGTACGAGTTCATCCCCAACGGCCCTCTCAGCAACTACCTCTACGCCTCCCACCAGGGCGAGTGCCTTGACTTCCAGCAGCGCCTCGAGGTCGCCATAGGCGTGGCTGAAGGCCTGGCTTACCTGCACAGCTCCACCCAGCCCGCCATGGTGCATCGGGATATCAAGCCCGCGAACATCCTGTTAGATGCGGGGTGGCAGGCGAAGATTGCGGATTTCGGGCTGGTGAAGGACTTGGGGGATAACGGCGCGTCGGTGGCAACAAGGGTGGTGGGCACGCGGGGGTATTTAGACCCTGAGTATTTCAGCCGGGATAAGGTTACCACCAAGGCTGATGTGTACAGGTGAGGCGGATGACTTTCAGCAATTTGCAAACCAGCCTGTCCTTGTTGATTGGGTTATCCCTTCTCTCATTCTCTCACCTGCCTCCTCTCATTTGCTCACTCCTCTCTTCCCACCCTCCCAGTTTCGGAGTGGTTCTCATGGAGTTGGTGACAGGCCGCCCTGCGTCCTCTGTGGACCCCACCAGCGACAACCATGCCACCATCCACATCTCCTCATGGGTATGCCCTCTCAACCCCACATTCCACCATGCCACACGTTCTTAACGGTGTGCTGCAGGTCATCATCGCCCTGCCATCTTGCATTCTCCACTGTGGTCACCATTGGTTGCCACCCTGATTTGTGTCCTCTGCCTTTCTGCACAGCACTCTTCCCATGTTTCTGTTCATGCTCGTCGTGCCTCTTCACTCTGCTTCTCCTTGCATCCCGCAGACCATACCATACGTGGAGGACGGAGACATAGCGCCCATCTCAGACCCGCGCATCTTCACACCAGAGATCTCAGAGCATCTCCTCGCCATGTCCAAGATCGCCAAGGACTGCATGCAGGTGCGTCCCCTGCCATGCCTTCAGCCCTGTTCTTGATGTTTCCTGACCAAAATACCAGTCTGAATTGAATCGCGTTGTACACAATTCCCCCTACCTCATCCTCCCCCTTTCTGCCCAATCTTTCCATGCACGCCCCCCCTCACACACACCCTCTCCTGCGCCCCCAGCTGCCAGGCAAGGAGCGGCCGGAGATGGTGGATGTGGCGCGCATGCTGCGCGATGTGAGGCGCCGTGCCTTTGGCGTGGGGGCGGAGGAGATTCAGCTCGATGAGGTGCCCACCTCGCCCCTCGCCTCAATCTACTCCTACCACCAGTCGCAGCCACCCTCTGGCTATGGCACAGACTCATACATAGAGTTCTCCGGACCCGTCCCCAAGTAGTGGGGAGGGGATGTAGTTTCTACTTACACGTGTGTTTGGAAAGCAGCTGCAGTTTCCCGGTGTGCAAATGTGGTGCCAGAATTTTGTAGGCACTTCTCTACACTGTCAGGGAAATGAGGGTGCTGTTCTTGAATAAGGATGAGGAGTCTGTTTCCTTGTCCACCACAGCATGCATAGGTATGGTTTGTTATGGTACAGTTCAGACTTCCCATTCCCAGCATAAATGCCCATTCAGAGATCGTGCGGGATGGGGAGCAGAACTTTTTAAGTTGGGGCGAAATCTGGCTGTAATGTGGGCATCAAAGGTTATCATCTGATGCCCACCCAGGTGAATGTGCACCCTGGTTTTAATAAGGGTATGACCCTTCTTGAAGGATCTTCTGATTGTAGCCCTGGCTTTTCATTGCTAGTTCACACAGAGCTCTGGGTGAGCAGGGCGCTGGAGCACACCAACTAAGGAAGCTTGTTCGATTGAGTTGATAGACAGCCAAGGAAAAAAAGGGTACCCAACTAGAGCTGTGGTTAGTGCATCAACACGTCTATTCTCATCCTATTTACAATACAGTTTTAAACTCCAAACAAAGCTTAGCTGACAGCATAAATTAGAAAAAACGTTATTCGTATAACACTATTATCCATACTTAGGCTAGGCAGCAACAGGGGACTCAGCAACAATGCGCTCATACGCCTCGCGCAGCTTGAGCCCCACAATGGTCTGCAGCAGGCCTGTGCCGTTGTTGCTGCCAGGGAAGTCGGCGTTCTTGAGCATCTGCTGGGTGATCTCGCCGTAGAACTTGGTTGACGTGTTGCTCAGATGGCTCTCCACGTAGATCAGCTCGTCCAGCTTGTCAAACTGGCCGTCCATCTCCAAAACAGACACCTGAGTATTGGGATAGAAGGATAGTTCAGAATGTTGGAAGTTTTATGTGATTGAAAATGAATCTGTGCTTGAAGTTTGTTCAATACTTGTGATTTATCAGTTCTTTAGGTTCAGATTCAGACAGAGTCATACCAGATGCCATCAAGAAACACTGACACTGTCTCTTGCTTACCGGATTCCCAAAGTAAGTGTCAGGGCCGTAGAAGAACTTGATGCCAGGGTAGGAGCAGGTGAGCTTGCGGCCGCAGGGGATCCAGGAGATGCTGGAGCCCTCGTCGAAGAGGTACACGGGGTCGAACGTGCCCAGGCCCTCCTTCTGCACCATGCGCACGCGCAGCACCTTGCCCTCGTTGTCGTCCGGAATCAGCTGCGTCGGCAGCACCTGAATCACCACATCCGCGTGCTGCTTCTGTGGGTCTGTGGGATTCATTCAAATGGGGGTGAAATGTTCGGGAGAGGAGGACTATGGTTGAAGCTCCGACAAATACTGTTCTTTATTGGTCCAAACTTACGAGTGAGCTGAAACTTTGCATATCTCGACTGAGTCTGGTACAATGCGGTGGTTTCTGGTCGAGCGGCAACATACCAATGTAAGCGTCGAAGTCTGGCTTTCTCGCTTCAATCGAAGCCTTAATGCTCTCCAGGCTGTGACCGCGCTCAGCCATGTCACGCTGCAAGACGCAAGGATATGTCAAGTTATGGTCCCTCCCACCACATACTATGTGCCTTGAACATTTGTGTCAAGAGGCCACGAAAGTAACATTCTAACTGAAGTAACACTGCTGAGGAGCAGCGTACCTGGATCTTCCAGGCGAACTTGACCTCATCGCTGATGTCAAGATAAATGCTGAAATCGATGAGCTTTCGCACGCGCTCGTCGTACCTGACACCAACAACAGCCAGGATTCAGACGAGAAATCCTAGACGTAACAGCCAGGATCGACAACAGATAAAAATACGACAAAGAAAAGAACAGAAAAAAAGAAATAACAATGCAAGACGCACATGGGGTGAAGGCCCTCGATGACGAGGATGTCGGGGGATTCGATGAGTTCGGGCGGGTCGAGCAGGCCGGACACGTGGTTGTAGATGGGCTTCATGACGGATTTGCCTTCCTTGAGCGCCTTCACCTGCTCGTACATCAGGTCGAAGTCGTTCGCCTTGGGATCCAGCGCGGTTACATTCGCCACCTTGCGACCGTTGCGGTCGAGCGAATGGTAGTCGTCGAGGCAAATGACGGTGGTCATGTCGCTGAGAAGGGTGTTGGAGTCCGGGTTGCCTCCCTTGGGGGGAGAGGCCGAGCCTCCGAACACGCCAGTCATGCGCCGCATGAATGTGCTCTTCCCGCATCCTGAATCCGCGGCAAGGCCGACCACGACGGTCTTATTGCCAGTCTTGCAGACTACGAGCATGGGTCTCCTGACATTGCTAGAACGGGACTTCAGCGTGGCCTTCGCAGCAATCTCCTTAGCGCCAGTGGAGAAAGAGCTACCGAGAGTCACATTGTGAATCTCGCTCTTGAGAGCACCGAAGTTCTTGGTCGGAGAGGCCTTCACGGAGAGCACCTTGGACTGGACTCCCGAGGAGAGTGCTGCAGCCATGGCTGAAATAGAGATCTCTGTTTTGTCATGAGATTCCTGCAAGACTAGGGGAATGGGGAGAGATCGAGTTGCAAATGCACATTCATTTCTGTGGGGCTCATTCAGGTGCGACATTGTCGCACAGCCTCATCCGCGCACACTTCCCACCAATCAGTGAAGGCGCTAAAGCAAACACCATCCTGTCCAATCAAAACGCGTCGTCGTGTGCGAAGTTGACGAGGTTCGCACGAAACAGGTTGGCGAATTGCCAGCCCCAGCAGAGCTGCGTTATGAAATATCCAATAAGAAATACAAATCGATTCTAATTTATACAGTCGTATACATTATGCTTAATAGAAAAATGCTCGTAGCTGTGGTGTTTTGGTGCTATGAAAAGTTTTTATCATGAAAGATCAGACCAGAGCTAGTTTTGAAGCGTATGGCGCAAGCTTGTGAGCTCGGCAGCTGCACTTCCTCCACATGTGCGGATCCTAGCGCGTTTTGAGGCTAGAAGCGCTCGCAGTGAGCGTTTTTCTTCTACCAAGTCACGTGGCTGCGCTTTTCTAGGCCTCTTGCCAAGCTAGCAAGGGCGTGGAAGGGTTGCGAGCATCATTGGTCATCGTCCCTTGAGAATGAAGAGCGCCCGCTGCACTTCCTCAACATGTGCGGATCCTAGCGCGTCCTAAGGCTAGAAGCGCTTGCAGTGAGCGTTTTTCTTCTACCAGGTCACGTCGCTGCGCTTGTCTAGGCCTCTTGCTAAGCCAGCAAGGGCGTGGAAGGGTTGCGAGCATCATTGGTGATCGGCCCTTGAGAATGAAGAGCGTCCGCTGCACTTCCTCCACATGTGCGGATCCTAGCGCGTTTTGGGGCTAGAAGCGCTCGCAGTGAGCGTTTTTCTTCTAACAGGTCACGTGGCTGCGCTTGTCTAGGCCTCTTGCCAAGCCAGCAAGGGCGTGGAAGGGTTGCGAGCATCATTGGTTATCGGCCCTTGAGAATGAAGAGCGTCCGCTGCACTTCCTCCACATGTGCGGATCCTAGCGCGTTTTGAGGCTAGAAGCGTTCGCAGTGAGCGTTTTTCTTCCACCAAGTCACGTGGCTGCGCTTGTCTAGGCTTCTTGCCAAGCCAGCAAGGGCGTGGATGTCAAACATTATATATGTTGGTTGTTGTTAGGCTACAGTGGGCTAGACTATATGGGGTACACTATTCTAGGGTTTGTATTTGTACTGCCTTCCCTGTTAGTTCAGTCATTCCAGTCAGTTATTCTTGACATGGTTTCAGAGCAGGTCCTTCGCTAGGACCGTCCTTCGGGCCCACCTACCTACCTACCTACCTACTACCTACCTACTACCGGAGCGCGTTCTTAGCGCCTCCCCCGTAGCGCCCTCGAGCGCTTCATTTTTTTTTTTTTTCGGCCCCGCTGGCCCCGTCGATCGAGCCCCGTCTAGAGGCCCCGCGGCCCCGTCGTTTTTGACCTAGAGGCCCCTCACGGCCCCGTCGCGCCGCCCCTTAGTGCCTCTAACGACCCCGCTGCCCGCCCCTTAGCGGCCTCGTCGGCCCCGCGATCGCCCCTAACGGCCCGCGCAGCCCGCATTTCACCCGCGCGGCCTGCGTGCTGCCCGCTGCCGACCCGCGCACCGGCAGAGCCACTCGCGTGCCGCACGCCCGTTGCCTGCAGCCGCTCGCGCACGCCCCGCAGCCGCCCGTCGCCTGCTCGCGCACGCCCCGCAGCCGCCCGTCGCCTGCTCGCGCACGCCCCGCAGCCGCCCGTCGCCTGCTCGCGCACGCCCCGCAGCCGCCCGTCGCCTGCGCACGCACGCCCCGCAGGCCCGCAGCCCGCCGTCTCAGTGGCCGCCCGCCCGCAGCCGCCCGTCGCCTGCTCGCACACGCCCCGCAGCCGCCCGTCGCCTACTCGCGCACGCCCCGCTGCCCGCAGCCGCTTGTACGCCGCTTCTTCCGCTGCTGCTTGCGCACCGCTGCCTCCCGAGCGCCACCGCTGCCCGTGCGCCGTTGCTGCCCCTACGCTGCTGCTGCCCGTGCGCCACCGCTGCCCGTGCACCGCCGCTGCCGCCCGTGCGCTTCTGCAGCCGCCGCCCGCGAGGCACTCGCTCTCACTGCTGTTATTTTCTACCTACCGTGCACACTGCTGCCACTGCAGCTGCCACCAGTGCACCGTTGCAGCTCCTGCTGCCCAGCTACCTACTACTGCCGCTCGTGTGCCACTACGGACAGTCGACCCCGCCCGCGCCTTACCTAGCGGCCCCGCCGGCCCCGTTGACCCTCCGCACACCGTTCCAGCGGCTTGATTCCTACTGCTACTACTGCTACTGCTACTGTCGCTATGGCTAGTCCTCCCGTTCTAGCTTTCGATGCCGAGGGCCGTCCGGTGAAGTTCGAAACCTGGCTAGATGACCTGCACCTGTTCTTACAGCTCACTGCCAAGGAAGATATCTCATTGTACGACCACGCCCTAGGCCATGCCACTGCCCCTGACTCGTCTGCTGACAGCACTCTGCGTTCCCAGTGGCAGACCCGTGATGCGCACGCTCGCTTTGCTATTCGCAACTCCCTGCCGCTAGACGAACGCGAGCACTTCGGCCAGTGCAAGACTGCTAAGGACCTCTACACAGCTGTAGTTGCCCGCTACTCCTCACCTGCTTCTGCCACGCTAGGCCGCCTCACTCTCCCCTACCTGTTCCCCGACCTAGCCTCCTTTCACACTGTCGCAGACCTCATCACCCACCTTAAGACTAGTGAGGCCCGCTTTCGCGCTGCTATGCCTGCCGAGTTTCTCACTAGCAACCCCCCCCGCTCTGGATCACTCTCTACCACATCGTCACCCGCCTCCCTGACTCTCTGCGCGCAGTCAGGGACCACTTCCTCTCTCGCTCCCCCACTGAGCTCACTGTTGCCCTCCTCGAGAAGGAACTGCTTGCAGCTGAGGCGAGTATTGTAGCTGTAGGCACCTCTCGTGGCGACCCCCGCACCCCGTTCTTTGAGGGGTGTTCCCCTTCCCCCCTCCTCCCCTCTGTCGCCTCTGCTGCTGCTGTCGACCTCCTCGGTGCTGAGAAGGTCGGGACCGCGTCTGCTTCGAGCGGGCGCCGCAGGAGCAAGGGGGGCAGGGGTGGGGGTGGCGGCGGAGGAGGTGGGGGTGGAGGCGGTGGGAGTGGAGGCGCGGCTGAGGAGGCTAGTGGCGGCAGTGGGGGAGGCGACAGCAGCGGCGGGAGTGGTGGCAGGGGCGGAGGCGGCAGCGGGGGCGGAGGTGGTCGTGGTGGCGGCAGGGGTGGAGGTGGCCGGGGCGGAGGCGGTGGGGGTGGTGGTCGTGGAGGCACTGGCGGAGGGCAGAGTCAGCAGCCCGCCCCGACACTTCAGGCCGCCCGTGAGTGGTATGCGCAGCGTGGAGTTACCTGCACGTACGTTATTCGCACAGGTGACCGCAGCGGCCAGCAGTGTGGGAGGCCGCACCCCACGCAGCGCTGCTTCGCGCGCCTTAACGACGCGTGGCGCACCCAGTTTCCTAGTGCCACTGACCTGCCGCGCTGGGCTGAGCTGGAAAAGAGGGGTGTTGATATTTGGGCTCTAGACTTTGATGCTATTCTCACTGCCATGTATGCGATGTCTATTAGTGGAGAGGGTGCTCAGTACTTGCGTGTTCCGCCCGACCCGGGCATTCAGGCCAGTCCGGCTGCCGCTCTAGGTGCTAGTGCGTCCGCTCCCACAGGTCCTGGTGAGGCTGCTGCCCTAGGTGCTAGTGCGTCTGTGCCCCCTGGTACTGAGTCGACTGCAGCACTGCACACCTTCACACTGGACTCAGGTGCTTCTCGCTCTTTCTTTCGTGACCGCACTGTCCTTGAGCCACTCGCTCGGCCAGTTGCGGTCTCCCTTGCTGACCCCTCTGGGGGTCCGGTCATTGCGACCTCCTCCACTGTCCTTCCTTGTCCGGCGGTCCCGTCCGGCACGCTGTCAGGTCTCTACCTCCCCTCGTTCTCTACGAACTTGGTGGCAGGTAGTGCACTCCAGGACGGCGGTGTTCACCAGTTCACCCCTGCCTACGAGCGCGTGACACACTGCACGTGTGCTCGGACGGGTCGCCACCTGGCTACTTTCACTCGAGAGCCGGGGTCGGACCTGTACACACTGACCACTGAGTCCCCTCAGGTAGCTGCGTCTGCGTCTACGTCTGCGTCTGCGTCAGGTCAGCTGTCCGCCCCCTGCTCGTGTCGCTCTCTGGCGCATGAGACTGTCCTTTGGCACCACCGCCTTGGTCACCCGTCTGTGCAGCGCCTTCGTGCCATGCACAAACGGGACCTTGTTGCTGGTCTTCCCAGGGTGCTCCCTCCCCTTCCCGACTCACCTGCTCCCCCCTGTATTCCCTGTGTCGAGGGGCGGCAGCGCGCCGCACCTCACTCCTCCTCCTTTCCCCCGACGACTGCTCCCTTGCAGACGCTCCACATGGACGTGTGGGGCCCAGCCCGCGTCCGTGGTCAGGGTCAGGAGAGGTACTTCCTGATTGTTGTTGACGACTTCTCGCGCTACACCACGGTCTTCCCCTTGCGCGCCAAGGGTGACGTCCCTGATGTCTTGATCCCTTGGATCCGCAGATCTCGTCTCCAGCTCAGTGAGCGTTTTCGCTCCGACTTCCCTGTCCTGCGTCTGCACTCTGACAGAGGTGGGGAGTTTTCCTCTGGCCTCTTGGAGGCCTTCTGTCAGCAGGAGGGCATTGAGCAGTCGTTCACGCTTCCGGCCTCTCCACAGCAGAATGGGGTTGCTGAGCGCCGCATTGGTCTGGTCATGGAGGTCGCTCGTACCTCCTTGAGCCATGCGGCTGCCCCCCATTTTCTGTGGCCGTTTGCAGTCCGATACGCTGCGCATCAGCTCAACCTCTGGCCCCGTGTCTCCTTGCCCGAGACTTCTCCGACACTGCGTTGGACGGGAGAGGCTGGCGATGCGTCGCGTTTTCGGGTCTGGGGATCCCGAGCTTTTGTCCGCGACACGTCCCCGGACAAGCTCTCCCGTCGCGCTGTCCCCTGCGTCTTCCTTGGCTTTGTCCCGGACGCCCCTGGCTGGCAGTTCTACCACCCCACCTCGCGTCGTGTCCTGGCCTCTCAGGACGTCTCTTTTGACGAGTCCGTCCCCTACTACCGCCTCTTCCCCTACCGCACTGCCCCGCTCCCCCCCCCGCCTCTCTTCCTCGCTCCAGGTGCTGAGGTACCAGACCCCCTCCCCCCTCAGGGTGCCGCTCCCTCAGGTGTGTCCCAGGTAGACCCGGGTGAGCCTGTCGAGGTAGCTGTCGACTCTCGTCCTGCTAGGGGTGCTGAGCCTGGGGGTGCTGCGTCTGGGGGTGCTGAGCCTGGGGGTGCTGCGACTGGGGGTGCTGAGCCTGGGAGTGCTGAGTCTGAGGGTGCGGAGCCTGGGGGTGCTGAGCCTGGAGGTGCGGAGCCTGGGGGTGCTGAGTCTGGGGGTGCTGAGTCTGGGGGTGCTGAGCCTGAGCGTGCGACACCTGGAGGAGCCCTCTCCTCCCAGCAGCTGCAGGAGAGGTACCTCGAGTACTGCCGCCTCCGGAGAGGTGCTGCTGGAGCTCGTCCCGGTACTTCCCCTCCTACCCAGGAGCTCCCCCCCATTCAGCAGATCCGCGAGTGGTACACACGGCGCTGCAGTCTTCGGAGTGGTGCTCCTGGTGCTGCGGACCCTGGGGGTGGCGCTGCTGCTGGTACAGAGGACTCGGACGTTGGAGCTGCTGCTGGAGCTGAGGACCCGAGCGGTGGCGCTGCTGCTGCTGCTGAGGACCCGGGCATTGGAGCTGCTGCTGGTGCTGAGGACCCGAGTGGTGGAGCTGCTGCTGGTGCTGCGGACCCGGACGGTGGAGCTGCTGCTGGTGCTGTGGACCCGGACGCTGGAGCTACTGCTGGTACTGAGGACCCGGCCGCTGGAGTCTCTTCTGCTTCTGGAGACGCTGCGCGGCCGCGGCCGTACTTCGTACCACTCCTTCAGCAGGTTCTTGGGCAGGCTCCTCCTCCTTGTCCTCCTCCCTCCGTAGAGTGTCCCCCGCCTGTCCAGCCGCAGTCACAGTTACCGCCTACCTCGTCTCTCCCTGCTCCCTCTCCTTACACTGGTCCCACAGGAGGTCTTACAGAGCGTCGTGAGCCTGAGTCTCGTCCTGCGTCGCCTGTTCGTCCTGCTCGCGCTGGTAGTCGTGTCCGTCGTGAGCGTCCTCCTCCTGTCCCTTGCACTCACTACATGACTCTGCGTCCCTCCACTGCTCCTCAGCGTGTCCCGCTACCGTCTCCTCCTGCGTCCTCTTTGCCTGACGTTCCGGACCCTGAGTCTGACCGGTATCGTGCTGAGCACCCTACTGTCACGCGTCTCCTCGCTACTGTTGTCACTGACCCTACCTTTGAGTCCTCGACTGCGTCTGCTCTGGTCGCTGAGTTGGTTGACTTTGCTGCTGCCTGTCGTCTAGACTACGCTGCTAGCCTTGTTGCTGAGTCTGAGTCTGTCTGTCCTCCGTCCGTCGGGGGTGAGTGTGCTCTTGGCACGGACGTCCTTGAGGACAGACAGGAGGAGTTCCAGTGTCTTGCTGCTGCTTTGCCCCGTCTCGTGTCCTTGCTAGTTGCCCCTGAGGGAGACCCGGATGCACCAGACATCCCGACCCCGCGCACTTACGCTGAGGCGATGGCGGGTCCCTACTCCTCTCAGTGGCAGACAGCCATGGACGCCGAGATGGCTTCCTGGAAGTCCACACGCACCTACGTCGACGAGGTTCCCCCTCCTGGGGCGAACATCGTCAGTGGCATGTGGATTTTCAGGGTGAAGCGGCCGCCGGGTTCTCCGCCTGTCTTCAAGGCGCGTTACGTGGCTCGAGGCTTCAGTCAGCGAGAGGGAGTTGACTTCTTCCAGACCTTCTCCCCCACCCCGAAGATGACTACTCTTCGGGTGCTGCTGCACATAGCCGCTCACCGCGACTACGAGCTTCACTCACTTGACTTCAGCACTGCTTTCTTACAGGGCAGCCTGCACGAGGAGATCTGGCTGCGTCGCCCACCTGGCTTCACTGGGTCGTTTCCTCCTGGTACCCAGTGGAGGCTTCAGCGGCCAGTCTACGGTCTCCGCCAGGCTCCGCGTGAGTGGCACGACACACTGAGGACTACACTTGCGGCTCTTGGGTTCGCGCCTTCTACAGCTGACCCGTCGCTGTTCCTGCGCACCGACACTTCGCTGCCGCCGTTCTACATCCTCGTGTACGTCGACGACTTGGTCTTTGCCACTGCTGACACTGCAGGGCTCGCCTACGTGAAGTCGGAGCTGCAGAAGAAACACACGTGCACAGACCTGGGTGAGCTGACAAGCTATCTTGGCTTGCGGATCACCCGGGACAGAGCACGGCGCACCATCACCCTGACTCAGTCACACATGGTGCAGCAGGTTCTTCAGCGCTTCCGCTTCACGTACTCCTCGCCTCAGTCCACTCCTCTGCCTACCGGTCACTCGCTCTCAGCTCTGCCTTCGGATGAGTCCGTAGAGCCGAGTGGCCCGTATCCAGAGCTTGTGGGCTGCCTCATGTACCTGATGACCTGCACTCGACCTGACCTTGCATACCCTCTTAGCATCCTTGCACGCTATGTCGCTCCTGGCCGTCACAGGAAGGAGCACATGGATGCCGCTAAGAGGGTGTTGCGCTACTTGTGCAGTACGTCGGGCATGGGGCTTGTGCTTGGAGGGCGAGACCGAGTTGTTCTCACAGGGCACTCAGACGCTTCTTGGGCAGACGACCAGGCCACTCAGCGGTCGTCTCAGGGTTACACCTTCAGCCTTGGCTCTGGCTCAGTTTCTTGGCGCTCTACTCGCTCTTCTTCTGTTCTCGGCTCCAGTTGTGAGGCTGAGATCTACGCCACAGCCATGGCTGCTCAGGAGCTACGCTGGCTGACCTACCTGCTGACCGACCTCGGAGAGCGGCCTCGTTCTCCTCCAGTGCTGTACGTCGACAACAAGGCTGCTATTGCCTTGTGTGAGGAGCACAGACTGGAGCACAGAACGAAGCACATCGCCCTGCGGTACTTCCTTGCTCGAGAGTTGCAGCAGCGTGGTCAGCTTTGTATTCGCTACGTGGCCACTGAGGCCAACACTGCTGATGTGTTCACCAAGGCGCTTCAGCCTCGTGACCATCAGCGCTTCTGCACTCTGCTAGGCCTTGTGCCTACTGGACCTCACTTGCTTACCTCGTGACTTTGCTTGTACTGTGATCACTATATATATATATATATATATATATATATATATATATATATATACCTGCATGCTTACTCTTGCTAGGTTGTGATCACTGTATCTCTTGCTCTATTATAAACCTGCATGTGAACTGGTCTTGTGACCACTAGCTTGTGCTCAGAATTTGTGTGGAATCCTCGAGATCCACCCTGAGCTTGTTGTTGCCTTGCTTTGCTTTGACTGGTCTTGTGACCCCTAGATCTCCCCCACTTTGCCTATGGGGGTGTGTCAAACATTATATATGTTGGTTGTTGTTAGGCTACAGTGGGCTAGACTATATGGGGTACACTATTCTAGGGTTTGTATTTGTACTGCCTTCCCTGTTAGTTCAGTCATTCCAGTCAGTTATTCTTGACAGTGGAAGGGTTGCGAGCATCATTGGTCATCGGTCATTGAGAGTGAAGAGTGCCCGCTGCACTTCCTGCACATGTGCGGATCCTAGCGCGTTTTGAGGCTAGAAGCGCTCGCAATGAGCGTTTTTCTTCTACCAGGTCGCGTGGCTGCGCTTGTCTAGGCCTCTTGCCAAGCGAGCAAGGGCGTGGAAGTGTTGCGAGCATCATTGGTCATCGGCCCTTGAGAATGAAGAGCGCCCGCTGCACTTCCTGCACATGTGCGGATCCTAGCGCGTTCTGAGGCTAGAAGCGCTCGTAGTGAGCGTTTTTCTTCTACCAGGTTACGTGGCTGCGCTTGTCTAGGCCTCTTGCCAAGCCAGCAAGGGCGTGGAAGGGTTGCGAGCATCATTGGTCATCTGCCCTTGAGAATGAAGAGCGTCCGCTGCACTTCCTCCACATGTGCGGA